GACTCCAACGAACCAATTCTATCAAAGCAACGCAACAACGAGAAAAAAATCGTCAGCCGATGCCGCGCGGATTTTCGACGTGCGACACCAAGGTATGTGTGAGTCTTGGATATGAACTACCATTTTCACCGCATCAATGTGTTAATATGGCCAGCAGATAACTTTCTTGATGAATTCTTTCTTTCAACTATAGTATAATTTCACAATGACAATATTGATAACAAGGTTATTTTTGCTTTGAAGGTGACAAAGAAGGACATAAAGGAAACATTTCAACCGCTATTTAGAAGCTATATGGAGGAGGGTCATGTGAGCAATGTGATGTGTTCATATAACAGGGTTAATGGCATTCCTACTTGTGCTGATCCAGACCTGCTTAAAGGGGTTATCAGAGAACAATGGAATCTTGACGAGTTTGTTGACTTCTACTTCTTTCCTAGGCATATATGAGTACCGAATCAAGTAACAGGACAATAGAAACTTTTTTCTTTTAATTTATATATATTTCATGTTTTAACTTCTGTTTTGTGCATTTTTTGGCATATATATTATATCAGATTGTGATTTCATCGAGGTTTATTATGATAGAATCAAATATGCAACCACACCTGAAGATGCAGTAACCCTTGCCTTGAAAGTAGGTATACATGCAATGCACTTGCAAGAATCCTTGATGACTATCGGAAAATTGAAGATTCCAACTCTTTTTGGGTATTGATACCTTATAATGATCATGTAATACAGGTTTAAACATGAACTGCGGAGATTTTTTGCCAAGGTATATAGAGAATGCAGTCAAGTTAAACAAAATTGAAGAATCTATTGGAGACCATGCCTTGATCTACAATTATATAGTCATAATAAGACTTGGTTTCTTTAACAGAGACCTAAAATTACACTCATTTGGAAATCTTGGACCATCAAATGTATGTACTGAAGAACATTAAGAGCTAGCGCTTGATGTTGCAAAGGGATTGTCTTGCTAGACAATAAAGGAGCTCTTCCTTTGTCTAAAAACACCACAAAAAACTTGGTTGTTATAGGACCAAATGGTAATGCTACCATGGCTATGATAAGCATTTATGCTGGTATACCTAGTGAATACATTACGCCTTTACAAGGACTGCAGAAGCACATCTCATTTGTCACCTATACAATCGGGTGTCCATTTGTGAATTGCACTAATGAATTGCTTGACGGGCTAGCAACTAAGGCTGCTACTACAGCAGATGTGGTGGTGTTGGTGATGGGGCTTGGTCAATCTATAGAGCAAAAGGACTTGGATAGGGAGAACCTGATATTGCCAGGATATCAAGAAAAACTTGTAAAAGATATGGCTAATGCTACAAATGGAACAATGATTCTTGTTATAATGTCTATTAGTCCTATCGATATCTCTTTTTCCAAGAATGAGAGCAAGGTTAGAGGGATTTTGTGGGTAGGCTACCCTAGTTAAGCTGGAGGTGATGCCATAGCTCAAGTCATATTTGGAGACCACAATCCTAGTAATCTTTCTATTTCAATTTCTAAACCATATAATTTTCTGCATCTCATGTTTGAGCATTCTATTACCAATTTATATCTGTTTCTAGCTAAAAAAAAAACGGTTACAAATTACCACTTTCATACTGACAATCTCTTCATCTTATCAGCTGGGAGGTCTCCTTTTACATGGTATCCAAAAGAGTACTCCGATCAAGTGCCAATGACAAACATCAACCTAAGAGTTAATGCAACTGATAACTTCCCTGGAAGAACCTACAGGTTCTACATTGGAAAACCATTATATGAGTTTGGCCATGGACTAAGCTACTTAACTTTCTCCAAGTTTGTTATTTATGCTCCTTCTACCTTACTAGTTCCAATGAAATCTTCTCTTAACCCAAGTGGCTTTCCCTCTATTTATCCCTCCAAACAAGACCCTTATCCTAATGGCCAAGCCATTGATGTTTCAAGTGTAAACTGCACCAATTTGCAACTTGTTCTAGTCATTGGTGTGAGAAACAATAGGCCAATGAATGGAGATCATGTGGTGCTAATCTTTTGAAAGCCACCTAAATTAGCAAAGATAACAGGTCCACCAAATATGCAACTAGCTGCATCTGACAGGGTGCATGTAAAAAAAGACAACACAAATAATATAACCTTGGCTGTGGATGTGTGCAAAGGACTAAGTTTTGTGGATAGCAAAAGACAAAGGAAGCTGGTAACAGGGCAACATACATTTATAATTGGATCTCCGAGTGAGCATCAAGTGAGGTACCATCTCATCATTAGGCTGGCTTAAAATGGAAGCATGGGAGGATTCACATTTATGTAATAGAAAAAGGATTAATTTTGTCCTTATCCTAGAGTTCATGTCTTGACTCCTGACCTGAGGATACCAGGCGACCCCGCTACCTTAAGCTTAAGATAGCTAGTATTTATGATATTTGTACTCGAAATTAGTTAAAAGAAAAGGAAAAATAAATAGAATAATGGAAAACGCTAGAGGAAGGGTTTGAAGTTTCGAGCTTATGATTAGCAACCACACGATCTTACCAACTGAGCTATTCTAACTTGATTTTTTTTTCTTTAACTTGCAAGTTTGTTCTATGATAAGTGGATTTTCATGACATGATGAGGTTCCGACTCAAATTTGGCAATGTGTAGGTAATTCCAATTATGGTATTTTATCTTCAAAAGGTTGCTAGTTCAAGACTATTTCAGGAAGATTCTCATCTATTTTATCTTCATTCACCATAAACCACAGTAAATGGCACTCATTTTAAGGGATGTAGCTTAATTAGTCAGGTTATGGTCAGATTCTAAGTTTGCTTTTTAGAAATCATTAGTTTAAGTCCCACAAATCTCAGGGCCACTAGAAGTTTACATAGTCGTTAACTTCAGAGTTCATGGGATTAGTTAAGGTACATACATGCAGACCTGAACACCTCACGTTAATAAAAAAAAAATTATAAACACCCTGAAATGCTTTAACTTTTTCGTCCTTCTTTTAGAACACCACATGTTTTACCCTTGCAAATTGCACTCATGGTGTTAGAGTGCAAAATCATTCTAAAACACAAGTGAAAATTTTTCGACTTCATTAATAATTGCTGAAAGAAACATCCTTCTGCACTATGATAATTGACAAGAGGTTATTATGATTCAAGCAAGTCTAGATGCCTTAACAAGCTACTGATCAGTTGGTTGAGCAAATCTGTTACCATGTAAGAAAAAAACATGCATTCAACATCGTTTTCTGAATCCTTGATTTCTTTTATAATAACATCTATTACAAACCATGGTAAGCAAATTCTTAGTTTTCACTGTTGTTGCTAAAAAAACTGTGGAAAAGTTATTAGGATACTAGCATGCAAACCTGAAAGGATAAAAAACAAGGGATAGGATAAAATGAGAAATGACACAATAATTTGCATGGTTCACCCAATTTGGCTACTTCCATGGGCAAGTATAGAAGAATTTTACTAAGTAATGTGGGAATTACAATCTCTCTCTATTAATAGAAGAACAACTGAAATCTCTCTATTAATAGGAGAAAATACATCACTTACTCTCTCACTAATTCCTCACAACTTTGTGGGAACTTTCCCTCTCTTACTTTTCTCTTCTTTCTCTCTTGTGGTACATCGTAATTGTCTTGCAAAAGATAAGTGGTGCCGAATTGGTGTTGCAAATGGCATCGAATTGGTGCCTATAATTATTGACTAAGGTGTAAAGGATGGCTTCACCTACTCCCACCATTGTTGACTTAGGTGGCTGGCTTCACAGAAAGAAAATGGAAAGAAAAAAAAGTTTCTAGACATAAAAATGTAAGTAGGCTAAGGTTTTCAAAATGCTTTTGACAAATAAGTCATCATCACGACACATCCAACACAACTACTTGTCCAAATAATCCATAATTATTTTCTAAAAAAGGGTGATTCCTTGTCACCTTTTATTAAATGGAACAAAGAAATTAACCCAGTTAATTACATAAACATTAAACCCTAATCTAGGTGGTAAAAGAAGAAGAAACAATCTAACCTAGTTCATTAAAGAAAAATATTGAAAAAAATAGATTAATTGAAAGTCTCGCGAATTTATCAGCGTTGAGAGCACCGATAGAGATCGTGTAACATATGTTCTTCTTGAAACCACTGGAATCTCATCATTCACAAGGAAATGACGGATGTTGTCCTCCAACAAATGAACAATCATTTTGATACAGAAAGTGTTGGCTATTAACAGTAAATGAGAGATGGCCTCCAACTCAAGTTTGGTGTTATTTTTTCTTTTTACAGAAATAATAATATAAAACAAAACATAGTTGTTGTTACCGTCTATTGATGGCTTAGGAGTTTATGTTGAGCAGTTAGTTCTAAATATTTTAAATTTTAACTTATAGGTGTCAATAGATTAAATATTCGTTATCTTTAGTACAACCATCATAAAAATCAATCCAAGGTGTATACAAATAATCTTAGTTACATGAAGAAACTACACAAAACAACATGTCATACAACATGCCATACAGACACCATACTTCAATTCTCCAAATAAACTAGCATTCCCTTATAAATAAAAGATATAAATACCATTAATCTTCTTTTAAATCTTGGTCTTCTTGTTCATATGTCCCCTGTCATAAAAAATCTAGGCATAATATGTACAAGATGACATCAATCCCAACTCTTGCATATTATTCCCAGTAAGTGAAAAAGTCTTCACTTTGTCACGTAGTGTTACACACTCACCTCACCAAGTATTGTGTCGCTTCTATAACTAACTTAAATAGTTATGATGGCTTTACAAACCATAAAGAGCACATATAAAATGTTAGAAGCATCTTGAAGCTAATGCCAACAGAAAGTGAAGCCATGTATAGGATTTTCCCTACAGCTTTTTGTAGGAATGATAAGGTGTGGTATCATAGTCTTTAGTTTCATTCTAGATCTCCACCATCTCTATGTGAAGTCTATCTCTCATTTTAGCACCATCATTCCTGCTAAAAAGAACACTACAAGGCTCTTTTCAATTGCACAACAAAATGATAAAAACACAAGGGCATAACTTTAGAGATTCAATGAGGAAAAGCTAAGCGTGGAGGATCTGCTTGAACCCATCACCATCGATGCCCTGGTCAATGAAGTTTATAACTATTTTTTTATAGGAAAGGTTATACACACTCTTTGACAAAAATCTCTTTAACATCAAACACATTACAAAAAATTAGATCAGGGTGGAAGAAGCTAGTATGACTATAAAATGTCACTCACACTTCCATACACAAGAAAAGTCTTCACCATACCATCAATATCCAGCTAGAGCTTCTAAAAGAAGCACCAAAAAGCACATCCATGATCGTTCGACATTTCTCGAGCTCGTGACCACACCTTTTACAACGACATGTGTTGATGTGTTAGCTACCATAAAGGGAAAAGACTTTCTGCAATACCCATCTCCAATAAAAAGTGGTTCAAACACAAGGAACCCTAACAAGTTTTGTCTTTTTCACCATGATCATGGACACGACATAGAAAAGTGTCATGCACTCACAAAAGAGATAGAAAGATTAATCTATAAATGGTATCTTCAAGAATTTACAAGGAGAAGATACAATGTGAACAAACATTAAACAATCCATGTGATGTACTACCTTAGATAAGATAAATCTCATAAATTATATCTCCATCATAATTTGAATTAAAAAAAAAATAGTGTATCTCCATGTCTCTAAACCCAAAAGGTCTCCATGAAATTTCCATAAAGAAGTCTCCATTAATCTCTATTATGTTGCCAATTCCCTGTGACCAATCTTCTTCAGGTCTTCATGACCAATTTTCTCCAGGTTCTAGTGACCACCGTCTTTGGGTCCCTGTGACCAACTTTCTCCACGTCCCTGCAACTACTACCTCTAAAAAAATTATGGATCTTTCTTCACAAAACATTGGCAATATCTCTCACAAATTCAAAAAACAAGCAAACATTCAAAAGCAAGCCCATGTACCATTTTTATACAAGCATACACTACAAGTATTTTCTTCTCTTCTCTTGCTAGTTGAAGTCTTCTAAACATATATATTTACAAGATTTCAGTGGGAAATGATAATACAAAAAAAAATAGAGGTATGTTGAAATTTGGTTGGGCTATGGTCCAACCTGGCTATTTTAGCTTACTTGGGCCACGGTCCAACTATTTTGGCTCGGTTGGGCCATGACCCAGTCGAGCTACCCCTCCTCTCTCTCATGTATCCTTTTTTCTTTTTTACTTTGATTATGCCTAACCGAGCTCAAGCTTCGGTCTTCAAACTGGCTCACCTCGGATTACTATTCATAAATAGTAATATTCATGAATAGTATTTTTTTCATTGTATTTCCCACATATATATATATATATATCAAAACAATGTTATACAAAGAATATTCTCAATGAAACATGTAACACATATCTCTTCTCTACAAACAAACAAAAAAATATCATTTTATCTTTTAAAATTTTTAAAATATCTCTTATTTTACCAAAATAAAACTTGTGTTATAGATATAACACAAGCTCATAACTCATCATCTCAATATATATTTTTTTAGAAGTTTTTCCACTTACTTGTTTAGCAATGTTAATGACAGTGACAAATTATCCACCAACCCCATTGTTTATTGCTAAAGCAACCTTTCAAAGTCGATTTCCACATGCGTTTATGGTAATTATCTATCGGCCATGGGTTCTTTTAAATCAGATTTTTTATTAAATAAATAGTCAATTGCATGTCCGGTCTTCTTAATGAACAAAATACAACTTCGATGGTTCGATTTGTTATTATAATGAAGTATTTTTTTTAATATGTTTTAATATATTTATTTAAATTAATTTTATCCTTTCATACATGTTAATTAAGTCTCTAATCTATCATTTAGGCAAGGTTTTCAAACTAATTTATCAAAATCAATCACGTAATTTACACACAATAACAAGTTTATATTTGAATATATGTTAATTTTATTTGTTTAGAAATATGATTATCCATACTATCAAAACTAATGCTGAGATTGACTATGACCATATCTAAACGAGAAAAACAATAAGAGAGTGACTGTTTATAGAGGGAATTGTTGGAGTTTATATAACAATTCATACTTTATTTTAATGAATCTACCCCTCCACTATACAATTCAAATATTATTTATTTTAAACTATACAGGCTTTGAATTTTTTCTCTGAAGATTATTAGTTTGAAACTCACAAATCTCAAAATTACTGAAGATTTATATGGTCGTTAACTTCAGGACACGTGAGATTGGTCGAGATACACGCAAACTAACTTGGATATCCATGTTAATATATATATATATATAAACAAAATCTTTATATGAAATTCATATATAAATATACTTGGTGGATCTGTATACGATTTTTGGATAAAAGGATTGTTTTCTAAATATTTTTTGATTCGTAAATGGTGTCAATGTGTCAGATATACCTCGGTCCACTTACAAAATGATTGCATTAGCCAAAAAGGAAGAGGAGGAGGAGGAGGAGGAGGAGGAGGAATTACATCTCGATTGAATGCATGCCG